CCACGGTCATGCATCTTTGTTGCTTCCAAAACTGCAACCTGTCATTCCCAACAGCATATCAGCTGGCAAAACACAAGAAAACTGAAGGTCACCAGTGCAAAAGAGGAAGACCGACAACTTCACGCCATCACTGAACTAGACACACATGTACATGGTGTTCAAGTACATGTACATGCAAGTGCATGTACATGTACATGTTCAGTTTTTTATTAATCGAAATTAGGGGTGTGTGGGTGGGTCAAAATAATTTGGAAAAAAAGTCGAAATTTTAAAACATTGAAAATTCTGAATGGCCCCTTATAACACTTTACCCACAGATTCTGCTTGATTTTAATATTTTAAATCATTTAAATCTGAACACAGTTGAAATAAACTTCAATTTCAATACAAAATTTGTGAAAAATGTATTTCTCTCTTCCAAACTACCCCTTCACGAAATGTTTGAACCCAAGTCTGGGGCGCGCTCTCTTTGGAACACTTACGTGCTACGCGCAACGCGCAACGCGCAACGCGCACACCAGCATGCATTTGCACACAAATACCGCGCCGTGCAAATAGTACTTTGGTTGCTAATGGTATAGTACTTTGGTCGCTACGGGTATAGTACTTTTGGCCGTGCACAGAAAGATAGCAAAATTAGAAAGTAACATGTGACTCGCTCTCGGCCAATCAAGACACAGAATCTGTGGGTGAGGTGTTATAACACGTGCTATTCACAATGTTTTCAGGCCAACGTACATGTTCGTCTATCATGAAATCTCGCAAAAGTCTTCATTTTTCAACCCGCGATTTGGACCAAACATTAGAAGTCTCCCGCACGAGTTTCACATGAAAATGAAGCGTATTCTTTCCTCTATCTACTAAGCCTTGCCATTTGTTTCGGCCTAAAAACTATCGGCCCTCGATTTTGTTGATAAAAATATGATTTTGTTTGACAGGCCTTAACACTTTATATTTGTCAAAAGCAGTTATTTTTGTTATCAAAATAAAGCACACGATTTTAACTTTTCACGTATTTAGCCATCTTGGCCAAACAGTGCATGTATCGAGGCACTGTTTGTGTTTTTTTGTAGTCTCGAATAAATCTCGTAAAATCTCGCGTACGCTTTTTGTGCTTGATCTTGGGACGAAAAACTGAGGTCAAACAGGGCTGTGTGCGTGACACGGCTACTGACTGGCGGGGGGGGGGGGGTTACGAGCGAAGCAGCTAGCGCGCGCTACGCATGATGGGCACCGGAAGCTAGTTTGTATGACGCGTTCTACGTCACAAATCTTGCAAATCTATCCAATGAGAGCTCAAATGACGTCAGCCCTGACCAGCGTCCTGTTTGGCGGGGGGGGGGGGGGTACGAGCGAAACTTTGCCAGGGTTGTCTAAGATGTTATAGGTCATTCTGTCCGCCTTGCACAACGGAGATTATGGTCTCCAACGGAGAATATGTTCCCCAGGGGATGTGGTCCGCCAAGCGCGACTCGCTGGAACTACTTTACTATATTTATCTAATCGTCCCCAGCTCATTATATGATCACTCCTGTTGGTCAAGAAACATTACGAGTATGAGAAAAAAGCGGAACCACTAAGGTCTAAAAACGAACATTTTTAGCGTCCCCGCCCGCTTCCTTTTTTGAGACCGCCTCTTAAAAAAAACACACACAACAAAATGATAAATTGTAAATAGTGACATCATTCTGGCCTCTTTGTCCGTTGCATCTAGCTCATATGAAACTGGTATGTCATTCCTGAGTCCAAGTGGCGGCCATTTAAAAAAAAAAGCTGGCGGCCATCTTAAAAAATAGCCCGGTTGGGCGGCCATTTTGTATGGAAAAAAGGGCCTTCTCCTTTTTTTCAAAAAGCAGGACGCCAAACATGGTGTTTTTTTTTATGTACTTTGCCTAATAAAGATTAGTACATGTACAGTGTATGGGTATTAATGAGTGAGACTGGGGGGGGGGTTCCCCTGGGGACAGAATCTCCCAGGTTGGGGACACGTTTCCCTAGGGAGTTTTGCTCCTGGCCCCCCGGACAGTTGTGGGGCTCAGTTATCAGCAGGGCTAGAGTCTCCGATAAACGGTCACCAAACTATTGTGTCCCTGAATAGACACGAAGACGTAATTAAATGATTTATTTCACGACATCGCAACTTCTTTCACGGCGTCGCAAAATGTTCACTGCAATGCATATTTTTTTCGGAACACGAATTCATGACATGCATTCATGTCGTGAATTGTTTTGTCGTGAATATTTTCCCACCACCTTTAATATATAGAGGATCCATGGATGAAGGAATAATTCTGTATCTCCCTCCCCTTTCTTTTCTTGTTGAGTCATATATATATATATATATTGGATATTGTACTTTAGTAGCGCGGCTTATTGCCATTTTGAATTAGGCTGGTAGCGGGCAAACATTACCGTTGTGATTTTCAATTCACGAGGCGGGATTCAGACCTGTACACGTCATACATATCATTTGCTTACATCAGGAGGGATGCCTCCCGATGTATGAAAGATTCACCGTTGGCAACCTCGTCCCCAGCGACCTGGACTTGTGTTGTTATTCACAACGTGCAGTACATGTATTCGCGATCATTCGTCCACGCCTTCTCGAAAATACTCATTTCCTTTCCAATTTGTTCATATTAATATGGAATGTGATACTGCATGTTGTCTCGATAAGATCGTAACAGTTTAATTAAATAGATCGTGTTTTCGTAACTCACGCCATACCCGCGCTGCGACAAACTGACTCTGTTTTTACCCTAGCCCGACTGCGTCTGGCCGTACAGTATTATCGCAAGCTCTGTACTACAGAGCTTGCGATAGTCCCGTACGGCCAGACGCAGTCGGGCTATTTTTACCCCAGACACTGCATACAAAAACAAACGCTAATGTAACGCGAATGCAGGCACCAGACTATTTCTCACTTGCATACACACGTGTTTATCTTGAATCATGCACATGCAAATGATCCAATACCAGGGTGAGAGAGCAGGTAATGATGGGCGCGTACTGCTCGACACCCTGGGGACGAGGTCGCCGTGATAGCTAACTGTCCCCAACCCCGTCCCCAGTGCTTACTTTATTTCCAACCTCGTTTCCAGTAGTAAGCCCTGGATAGGACATTTTCTTCCTGTATCCTGATTCGATACCGCAATTGGCTAGAATTGGATTTATATCGTGTACTTGGTGTTGTTATTCACAACATGCACATGCTTGCACGTGCAAAATCATCCAATACCAGGGTGAGAGAGCAGGTAGTGGTGGGTGCGTACTGCTTGACACCCTGGGGACGAGGTTGAGCTGTCTCCATATTATTTTGAAGTTCAAAGAACAATGGGGATAGGGAACCGGACTAATTATAAAGTATTTCATGGTCCTAAATTCACAACGCGCCGCCACAGCTGCATTCTGCTTGACATCGCGCAGTACGCGTGGCGCGCGCGCCAATATCCATAAAGGAATTAGTATACAAATATTGAATGCTTAGAGTGGTGTAGTAAATAGTACTTTGGTTGCTAATGGTATAGTACTTTGGTTGCTATGCGCATAGTACTTTTGGCCGTGCACAGAAAGATAGCAAAATTAGAAAGTAACATGTGACTCGCTCTCGGCCAATCAAGACATAGAATCTGTGGGTGAGGTGTTATAATTATGACTATACTCGCGAGCTGGACATTCCATTGTATAGCTAGAGGGGTGTTTTGAAGAAAAAAAAAATGAAGTGAAGTTTTTGAACAAATTCCCCTTTTTAGGAAAACGAGGCTATACTCTGAACAGATTAATAGATCACGTTTAGGCTATCAATTTGTTAAGTCGATGTTTAGGCTTAACATTGTCAATTGAATATCTAGTATCTAGGCCTAACGCCTGCATTAGGCAAAATAAAAAAAAAAAACATGTTTAGCGTCCTGCCTCTTTGACAAAAAGGAAGGAGGAGGCCCTTTTTTTTTTTTTTTTTTTTTTCAAAATGGCCGCCCGACACATTTTTCAAGACAACGCGGCCGGGCTATTTTTCAAGATGGTTACCAGCTTTCTTCAAAATGGCCGCCACTTGGACTCATTGACTATTTCCACAGCTTTAAACACGGTATAAAAGTCTAAAAATACGATTTCTTTCGTCAGAGATCGTTAAAATTTATCAATTTTTGTCTTTTAAAAAAAAAAAAAAAAAAAAAAAAGGAGGCGGCCTCTAAAAAGGAAGCGGGCGGGGACGCTAAACATGTTTTTTTTTTTACTTCGCCTTATTGTATATTTTCTGCAAATTTATCTTGGTGTTAATGGTCACATTTTAGTTAATCAATATAACTCAAATAAACCTGTAAGGGAAAATGACTTTCAATCTATATTTATACAGTTGAACCAGGAAAACCTCCAGAGTCCACAGAAGTAACCATACGAAAGAAGACCATAGGCCTACAGCCAAAGGGGGTGAAGAGAGAGGAACAAAACAGAAAAAAAATATGATGATAATGTTTTGTTTCTTAGACCTGTGGAATTTACTGATAATTTACTCGATTTATCTCGAGTGAACAATATCTGAAGTAGTGAAAAATATCTCGACAGCAATTTGAGACAACAATTGGCCGAAGTGAAGATAAGTCGACCATCTCCTAATTGAACAGCATACCGTGGCCTTCATTTAATCATTGCTGTCCAGGCTGCTGTCCCTCTCTTCGCCCGTGTTGGCTGCATAATGGTTGCTTCAGTTAATTTGAAAGTAATATTCATACTTAAAACAGCGGAAACACGATATTTTAGAGAGGTTTGACAGGAGTGTTCGTACTTCAAGGCATTAGGCTTATAGTCTTGTGCTTTTAATTGCCTCATTCTTGCTTCTGCGCATCCGCGCAGAAAATTTGAATTACATGTGATAAGTGAACTGGTCTATTGCCTTTTGTTATTAGATAACGACAGGTGCCCTTCCTATAGTAGCAGGAAGGAGTCTTCAGCAACATTGCATGTATCTTCGTCTTAGTTCTTTCTTTTCTTTTTGACCTTAGAGAGCATGTGGCGACGACGAAGACGAAGGCGTTCCCCACCCCCATCAGGTAACCTATAAGCGCAATTATCAGCCAAAGTTGAAAATAGAATAAATTTCACGATTGCTCTTTAGGGACTAAAATCACAAGTCGAATCGCAAGTCAATAGCAATCAGTTTGATTCAAATTGATTGCGATGGAGGCATTCCGTTGCTAATATTGATCCCCATCCTTATGATTTGGCGTGTGATTTGATTTGTGATTGAGTTGTGATAAATTGTTTTGATTACGACTCGGCAATTTACATTTTTGTGTTTTTATGTCTACTACACTCATCTTACTCGTATAGCAACTACATTGTACCACTGTATTTTCCCTATAGAGGGCGCAATTCATTCTCTAAAAGTGAACACCACTGATCTCATGGAGATCAGTGGTTCACTACGGAAGCTTGAATTGCCTTCCGCGATACCGCGTTACCGTGATAATTTATCACAGAAATCCGGAATTCAAAGATAAATCCTTCCGATACTGCGTTACTGTGATAATTTATCGCAGAAATCCGGAATTCAAAGATAAATCCTTCCTCGATACCACGTTACCGTGATATTTTATCACAGAAATCCGGAATTCAAAGATAAATCCTTCCTCGATACCACGTTACCGTGATATTTTATCACATAAATCCAGAATTCAAAGATGCGTATTCCTCGATACCGCGTTACCGTGATAATTTATCACAGAAATCCTGAATTCAGAGTACGGAAGCTTGAATTGCCTTCCTCGATACCCCGTTACCGTGATAATTTATCTCAGAAATCCTGAATTCAGAGATAATTCCTTCCTCGATACTGCGTTACCGCGATAACTTATCACAGAAATCTGGAATTCAAAGATAATTCCTTTCTTGATACTGCGTTACCGCGATAATCATCACAGAAATCCGGAATTCAAAGATAATTCCTTCCTCGTTACCGATTTGTCTTTGAATTCCGGATTTCTGCGATAAGTTATCACGGTAACGCGGTATCGAGGAATAGGTATCTCTGAATTCCGGATTTCTGTGAGAAATTATCACAGTAACGCGGTATCGAGGAAGGGATTATCTTTGAATTCCGGATTTCTGTGATAATTTATCGCGGTAACGCGGTATCGAGGAAGGAATTATCGAGGAAGGAATTATCTCTGAATTCAGGATTTCTGTGATAAATTATCACGGTAACACGGTATCGAGGAATGATTTATCTTTGAATTCCGGATTTCTGCGATAAATTATCACAGTAACGCGGTATCGAGGAAGGATTTATCTTTGAATTCCGGATTTCTGTGATAAATTATCACGGTAACGCGGTATCGCGGAAGGCAATTCAAGCTTCCGTACTATAACCCGTGAGGTTATATAGACAAAGTAAGACAGTAAGACGAAGTGGTACTTGGGATGATGTGGTTTATTCGGTTGGCTGTGACGCTCTCTGTCTGATTCCTAGATTCTACTGGGTTTTTATACAGTAAATGAACATTCCAATCTTACAGCTATCTTACAGGTTTCTTGCCTTATTAGGAATCGTTCAGTAACTATTGAATATTAATAATACAGAATTGAAGGTGTTTGGTCAACTTGTATCTGGGGGCAGGGCTAGGCAAATTAATAGAACAATCGGATTTCCTTATAAGTCTGTGGGCTGAATCACTGTGGCCTTCCGGTGCAGCCCAGCATCCACCCACGCGGACCTTGTGGCTAAACTGGCCATTCCTTAGATGTGTCTCATTACCAGGAAAGTGGTCCTGTTCCTTGAAGGTCAACGTATACAACTTAAACAGTAAATATAAAACATGATATTTTATCATGGTGATATGTGCCCTCCCCTCGAAGCTTAAGTCTCCGGACTTAAAAGGGAACGTTCGGAACTTTAAAAATAAGGCATATTAGAAATCAACGATAACACTTATACATGACCTGAAGATGAGAAAAAGAAAAAGACAAGTATTAAATGGAAATGTAACGAAATGAATACAGGAAAACAAAATTGCATATCAAACAAGTTAATAAATGAGAATGAGTGTACAGGTAATGCAATCATGTCCATGGCCGGCATTAAAAGCACGAGGCAAAGAAAGGGAATTGAGGCATACAATAAAAATAATACGAACTACAGAGTACAAATGGAATAATCGTAAGTACAGGAAACTGTACACTAAATGATACATACTAGAAGTTAAAACACTTTAACTACAGAAAGCGGATAATAGCAATTTGCACTGAGAGAGAGCTAAAAAATTAGGACATATGCCTATCGTCTGCGCTTATTCTGATATGTTTTGGACCGTTTGGTCTTACGGATGTGAAAGTCTTGGATTAACTCATCAGGAATATTGTCTTCGGGCTCCCAGGTTGTTTTGGTATATCCTTTCCACTTGACTTGATAATGCCGCTTACCATCTATTATGGCAGAGCGTCTGAGACTGTGTACGATAAACCAATCGCCACGACCTTGGTCATCAGTGTCTGGTGATTTAGTATCAGAGGGACGTTTGGGACTGCCCAAAACAACAGGTGGGGGTTGTGGCACGTGTTCGTTGGCAGATTGATTATCTTTAGAGTGGGGCGTATCCCCGACAGTGTCACTGATAGTGTCACTGTCCTCAAATTGGTCTGTACCGACCTCAGTGTGGGTGTCTAAGCTATCAGGAATGTGTACGGGTCTGTCTTGAGGGTCATGGTATTGCTTCAGCCGATTCGCGTGGACTGGGGACAACATAAGTTTGTTATCACTACACCGCCGAAGTTTGTAGGTGAAGTTATCGCGAGCCTCACAGATATAGTACGGACCTAGCCATTTGTGACACATTTTGGGTGACAAGCCAACTTGACGTTTTGCACAGTAAAGCCATACTTTCTGTCCTTCTTGATAACTTGGGGTTTTGGATTTCTTATCAAACTGTTCTTTGTACTTGACTTGGGCCGCCTTGATGTTGTCTGCTGCAATTTTGCGCGTGGTGTCAAAGTTCTGCATGATACGCTCAAGCGTTCGATTAGTCGTTGCACTGGGCTGCGTTTGGGGTAACAATGCGGTATCGATGGGTAGATGACATTCACGACCAAATAAAATCATGAATGGGCTAAGTTGAGTAGACTCGGTGGCTGGGGTGCTTCGATAAGCGAACATGACACTGGGAAGTAGCTCTACCCAGTTAGATTGATCTGGTTTGCAGTAAGCACGGAGGGTTTGCCAAATGAAACTGTTCATGCGCTCACACGTGGCATTCGTTTGTGGGTGATAGCTACTGGTCTGAACTTTGGTGATCTGAAAGATGTTGCACAGCTGCTTGATAAGTTTAGACATGAACTGAGTTCCCCTATCAGAAAGTAGGGAGGAGGGGGCTCCATATCGGCAGATGATTTCATTGTACAGTATTTTAGCTACTTCATCTGCCTCTTGTGTCTTGAGTGGGAAAGCTTCGCACCATTTTGAAAATGAGTCGACGATCAAAAGTACATATTTGTACCCTTCAGGTGATGTTTTCAGTGGGCCAAGTATGTCGATATGTAACCTGGAGAATACTTCACCGACCGGCAGTGGTTGGAGGGGTGCGCGCTGAGCATGGCGGTTAACCTTAACGCGTTGACAGGTTGTACATGACTTAACATAGGCTTCAATGCGTGAAAACATTCGGGGCCAAAAATACTTCTGGCGAATACTGTTGTATGTACGATCAATACCCTGGTGTCCACCCAGGACAGAGTCATGATATGGAAGGAGAATGTCATTGTGTAAGCAAGTAGGAACAACCAACTGTTTGATTTGTCGATCAACTTGGTGGCCTTTACCGCGTGGATAATAGTAATGGTACAATATACCATCTTGTATGACATAATCTTGAACTTCGGCGACTATGCGTCTAGCAGCGTTCCCATCGGATGGCAAACTACCATTTTCTAAGTACTCAATGTACTGATTCAGGGAACTATCGCGTCGCTGGCGAGCTTGGATATCAACGGATTGATCTGTCAAACTGTCAGGGTTATCGATAGAACAGACTGTTTCTTTATCCGTGGCATAAGTCAATTTGTACTCGTACGTTTCACCCAGCGTTACGGAGTGACTGTTTTCCTGAGGCTGGTGCACAGTCTCAACTGGAATTGGGTCCTTATTCGCGGCTTGAACTTGAGAGGCATTGTCGTCATATTGTCGACGTGAAAGGGCATCAGCATTACCATGGGACGTGCCAGACTTATGAACAATATCAAAATCATACCCCTGAAGTAAGATAGACCATCGTCCCAATCGACCTACAGCATTGCGTATAGATCTGAGCCATTGCAAAGAAACGTGATCTGTGTGGACGCGAAACTTTCTGTTAGCAAGATACACCCGGTAAAACTGAATTCCTTGTACAACAGCTAGACCTTCTCTTTCGGTTATGGACCATTTTTGCTCGGCCTTTGTGAGCGCTCTCCCACCGTATTGAATGACAACCTCTTTACCGTTTTCGTCGGTTTGTGAGAGGATGTAACTGATGGCAAACCCACTAGCATCTGTAGCCAGAATAAACTCGCGATCAAAATTAGGATAGCCTAAGATCGGTGGAGAGACGAGCGCTTGCTTTAACTGGAGGAAAGCATTGTTGCCATCTTCTGTCCACACAAATGGCACGTCTTTCTGCAGGAGTTTGTTTAGGGGGGCTGCTATGTTGGCATAACCTTTCACAAATCTACGGTAATAGTTACATATCCCTAGAAATGCTCGAACTTCAGACGGGTCCTTAGGAACGGGGAAGGAGGTCATTACTGACGTTTTGGCTGGATCAGCCTTGATCCCTTGCTTCGATATGACATGCCCAAGATAGGTTACCTCTTTCGCAGCAAAGTGACACTTCTGTGGTTTCAACTTGAGATTCGCGCGACGAAGGCGGTCAAAGACTGCATGCAGGTGCGTCAAATGCGTGTCAAAATCAGGAGAGAAAATGATGATGTCATCCACATATACAAGTGCAAATTTCCAAGTTAGACCCCGCAGCACCTGAGTCATGACCATTTGAAATGAAACTGGCGCATTCATGAGACCAAA